TAAGATTTTTTAGAAATTTTAAATTGGACAAAAAAATACTTTTTTTTAAAAAAAATTTTTTTTTTTAAAAAATTTTTATACAATTTTTTTTATATAAATTTTTTTTTGGAAAAAATATTATCTTCATTTTGACATATTTTGTAAGATCTGAACTTTTTTTCAAAGCAATCGTACTGCTTTAATTGCATAGAGACAAAATATAAAGCGCGTAAGCGCCGCGTCGCTGTCTAACGGAAAAACATTGGTACGGAACCTATAGGAATGTAAACAAAACTTATACTTATTGTTAAAATCTCAATAAAATATCTGATAATTTGATATGCATATGTCTAATGTCTAATGATTATTGTTGACCGCCAAATGTTATTTTTTTTTTAGTTTTTTTTACTAGATCTCCGAAACCGCTAGACCTATCTTCTTGAAAATTTGATCAAATCTTCATCTTGTTAATACAAGTAAAATGTTTTTTGAACTATACAAATCGGACGCTCCGTTCTCTTAAAAACTGAGTTACCGTTTTTGCCCCATATCTTCGGAACGGCTAGACCTTTGACAAAAACTAATCAGCACGTCTCCTTATCAATACGAATCGAATGTTGTTTGAATTATTCAAATTGCTTCATCCGTGTTCCCGAAATCGTCGACGAAAATTTGTATCCGAACACACACACATGCACGCACACACACACACACACATACATCAATTTTCTCCAAGGTATGCCAACATATTCAGAAACCTCTGAAACGTGAAGATATATAAAAATTTTCATTTTCGATTTTTTTGCGATTACTTACTCTATGGAAAGTTAATTATAAATAAATCAATTTATCATCTCCAGAACATTAACAATCGTCATTTCATTTCGAATCAAATTCCAAAAAAAAAAATAGTTGCCAATTACACAAAATTGAAAAAGTGCTCCCGCATAGTCACAGTCTAAACGCATTTGCAAATAATTCTTTGCGACATTTTCACTTATACTGTGCTCAGCTTGGCGGCATTTTCACATTTTTCAATAATTTTCACAAAATTGGAAAAGTGCTCCAGTACACAAACAGTCTAAACGCACTTGGGTAAACATTTGTACCAGAGTGGCGCTTAGGCTGTGCTTAGCTTGGGTGATTTATTGAATTTTTAATCCAAAATTACAAAAAAAATTTTTTGAAAAAAAAATTAGAAACAAAAAATTTTTTTTTCCAAAATCAATTATTTTGTTGAAAAAAGCAGAAAGTTCTTTGAATCATTTAAATCGGACGCTTAGTTCTCTCAAAAACAGCCATTTTTTTTAAATTTAGCTCTGTATCTCCGAAACCTCTGGGTCTACCTTTGCCAAAAACTAATCAGTACATCTCCCTATCAATAGGAATCGAGTGTTTTTTAAACCATTCAAATCGGTTGATCCGTTCTCTCAAAACCTCGCTTTCTATTTTTTGCACTCTTTGCTCCATATCTCCGTAACGGCTGGACCTGCCTTTGCCAAAAACTAATCAGCACATCTCCCTATCAATAGGAATCGAATGTTTTTTAAACCATTCAAATCGGTTGATCCGTGCGCCCGAAAACGTGGACGAAAAAACGCGGACATACAAAACACACACACACACACACACACACACACATCCATTTTTTCTGAGGTATGCCAAAATGTTCAGAAACCTTCAAAACGTCGAGAAATGTAAAAATTTTTGATTTCGATTTTTGGACGATTACTATAACTTACCCTACGGGAAGTTAATAAAATAAAAATTGAGTACCACTTGACGATTTTGATTGATGTGGCCCCATCTAATGAATTTACCATGGGCCCCAGATAGTCTAGTAACGCCACTGGATATGATTCATTTGTTTAAATGATAGTGAGCAAGTGTAGCACCGTGGCCATTTGTTCTTTTTGTTTTGAGGTTTTGTCAGGTATTTTATTTCAGACCATTGTTAATATTCGTAATTTCGATTGTGTTAATTGGATAGTTTGGGTTATGACTTTGCACGAATATGTAATGTCTGATCTTACTTCGTGTATTATTAATCGAACTTGTAGTTGCTTTAGTGAATTGCTTTCGAATGGATCTTCATAAATCGGATAGCTAATTTTTCATAAGTTGATTCAATTTGTTGCTTTTTTAAGATCCCTGGACAATAGTTTCGAGTGTAAGAACATTGTCTAGGCTATGGTAAGTAATCGATTCTATATTATCTCTAATTTAATGTTGAGTTAATGCTCTAGCTTTAGAATAATCATGTAATGACTTTCTAATTTTGTAGTTTAGATTAGCAATGCGAATGTAATGTCAACATCGGCAGTATGCTTTATTTTCTGCGATTATTTATTTCTTGAAACAAAAGTATTCACAGTTATATGGATTTGGGTTTGGTATGGATTTATTCATAAGGTCTATGAATTCTTTACAAATTAAGTCAAACTTGCGCATTGTGTATATTTTTTGTAGTTTTAATACATTTCTGACTTCCTATAATATCGCATACCCCACGTATAAAAATTGGTGTATTAATTTTTTTTTTAACTTACTGTGGGATAAGTTATAAAAATCACAAAAAAATCGAAAATGAAAATTTTTGCATATATTAAAGGTTTCTGAATATTTTGGCACACCTTAGAAGAAATGGATGTATGTGTAAGTTTTATGTATGTATGTGCGGATACAATTTTTCGCCAACATTTTCGAGAGCACTGATGCACCGACGTAAATGATTAAAAAAAGGTTCGATTTGTACTGATGGGAAAACGTGATGAATAGCTTTTTGCAAAGGTAGATCTAGCCGTTTTGAAGATACGGAACAAAAAATGGTAATTCAGTTTTTGAAAGAATGGGGCATCCGATTTAAATGATTCAAAAAACATTTTACTTAGGTTGACGGAATGGAGAATTGGATGCATTTTTGGAAATGTAGGTCCAGCGGTTTTGTCCAATAAAAAAAGTTAAAAAAATGCCATTTGGCGGCCAAAATTGATCATTAGACTTATGCACATCCAATTATCAGACCATTTATAGAGATTTTAATAATAAGTACAAATTTTGTTATATTTGTTCCGTACCAAGATTTTCATAAATTGCCCAAAAAAATTTTTTTTCAAAAAATTTTAAATCTTTCAGAAATTTTAAATTACGATACACAAAGTTCCTAAATCAACATCAATCTAGTTCTCGTGCATGCCTCTCATTGAATCATTAAAAAAGCGCAGACAAGAAAGCGTTGATTAGAAAAAAAATAGTTCAAAATGAAAAAGTGGATGTATGTCTGTGTGTGTTTGTGTATATGTGTGTATCTATATGTGCGGATACAATTTCTCGTCGACAATTTTGAGAACACGAACACGTTTTAAATGATTCAAAAATCATTCTATTCCTATTAATGGGGAGTCATGCTGATTAGATTGGTCCAGCCGTTTAGAAGATGCGGTGCAAAAAGTGCCAAATATGGTAATTCTGTTTTTGAGAGAAAGGAGTGTACGATTTTGATAATTCAAATTTCATTTGTATACAAATCGATATATTGATGAAATGAAAAAACGATCGGATTTTTGGGAAGGCAGATCCAGCGGTTTCGAAGATCCAATGAAAAAAGTAAACTAGTGGTGCATGGCATCGTGTCTTAAAGCAAATTGCAGGAACTTCTTTTTAGAACTTTGAAAAAAAATAGATTTCTGAGATTTTTTCGATTTTTTGTGAAATACTTGAATCTTTTATATCCTTTGAAATATTTTGAATAAATTAAATTATTTTTCGAAGCAATCGCAATACGTTAGCTACGTAAAAATAAAATATAGAAGCGCGTGAGCGCCGCGTTGCTGTCTAACGGATAAGAATTGAGACCATAGAAATGTAAACAAAATTTGTTCTCATTATTAAAATATCTATAAAATGCCTGATAATTTGATGTGCATATGTCTAATGATTAATTTTTTTTGCCAATTTTTTTTTTTTACCTGCCTTCCCAAAAATGGTGGCAGTTGTTCATTTCGTCAATACAAATAAAATGTTTTTTGCATTACCATTTTTGGCTCTTTTCGCCCTGTATCTTCGGAACGGCTAAACCTACCTTTGCCAAAAACTAATCAGAACGTCTCCTTATCAATTATACAAATCGAATGTTTTTTTAATTATCCAAATCAATTGATCCATGTTCCAGAAATCGTCGACGAAAATTTGTATCCGCTCAAACACAGACACACACACGCATACATCTATTTTTTCTGAGGCATGCCAAAATGTTCAGAAACCTTTGAAACGTAAAGATATATAAAAAAAAATATTTTCGATTTTTTTGCGGTTACTATAATTATAGTAACCTTAACTTACCCTACGGAAAGTTAAAAAATGCCATTTGGCTTTTTATTATATCATTAAAATAATCATTAAACATATGCGCGTCAAATTATCAGATATTTTATATAATAAGTACAAAATTTTGTTTACATTTTTATGGATTCTCAATCAATGTTTAACCGTTAGATTATGATGCGGCGCTTACGCGCTTTGATATGCTATGCTAAAACAACTATGCAGCAGGATTGCTGCATAATATTTAATTTTATTTTTTTGAAGTTACAATTTATATATTAATATAAATTCAAATCGAATTTTTCAAAAAAGTCAATTTTTTTCAAAAATTTCATAGATCTCAAAAATCTAATTTCTTCAAAATTTTCAAAAATTTTACAATGCGCTACGGAAAGTTCCGGCAATTTGTCTTAAAGCACGATGCCAAGAACCACTAACAAAAATTTACATTCGCATTCATTTTTTTTCTCAAAATCTACAAACATATATGCAAACATTTATGTTTACTTATCTATGTATGCAAAGTTTATTTAAATAAGAGAGCATACTTATATCCATAGATAAGTAAACATGCTTATATCTATTCTAATATAAATATCAGTGCTTTCGTGTTTCCATCTATCGGCAGATTTACCTGAAATATTTAGAAACGACAGCGACGCCATATTTGTGGATTGTTTTAAAACAATCAAAATATCGTGCGATTGAATTTTATATTTTACTAGTAAAATTAATGTAACTTTGGTGTTTTTTTAAACTTAGTATTTGGCGAGAAGATCATAACTGTTATATAATGAATGTGACAAATGTAAATATTGTTCATCAAAACTGTACTAATCAAATTATTCGCAACATGGGTGATGTGATTAGTAAAGAAAATATAAATGATTCCAAATACATGAAAATGCCGGAAAATCATATGAATGCTTCGCCTGTTGAAAACATGAGCAAAATTCAAGTTAATCCAATTATGGATAAAATTGTGACTACGATTGACCTTATCGAATCTGAGGAATCGAAAAATGACGCCAATGTAGCTGTAAATGAGAAGGTATAGTTTTATTTGGCAGGTTACTTTTACAGATATTGTTTACAATCTCAATGAATGAAAGTAAAACTCTCATTTCTATAAAGAGTATGTTTGATACATAATCAATTTACTTAGATTCAATCATATATTTTATTTTACAGTAATACAACATATTAAATAATCTTTTCAGTATTATTATTTGCACATGATTTCTGTGATAATTTAGAAGTAACTTCAAAAATTATTATATTTTCTATTAGAATATTATAAATGAGTTTGTATACCAAATAATTAAAAAGGTATAAAGGAGTATATCAGAATACTTTTGTGCAAGATTTTACTTTTATAGGTTAAATTACAGTACCTCTAAACAGTTTCCGATATATAATTTTAAATATGATTAATACTTTCACAAACACCATTTGATGTGCTTTATATAATCATGCTTATTTAAAAAGAATAGGTCTCGATAAGTTCTTAGAAGCTTATCACGTTTGTGTCATATATTTATGTATAATAATGTAATATTTTTGGTTTTCGATTAACTTTACATCTTGTATTGGAATTTTATAGCAACATTTTATATACAACTAAAGTCAAGGCTCCTACGAAATTTGAGTAAAAATTTTGCTGCAGTTTAACATACAAAACTGTCATAATATATGTATAATAATTCTAAAGTAGTGATCGACAATTTTCAATTTTAAGCATCTAGACTCTAAAGCCTAAATTTACTCTTACTACATTTATAAAGTGGAGGAAATATTCTTGACAATGTTGTTTATCTATTACTGAATAGAGTTAAATGCATGTTAAGTAGTTTAAAAGTTAATATAACATACTATTTAACTAGATGAAACAAAATGAAAAATTTGATCATACATTTTGAATTCAGTCCCGGTTTTTGTTGGTTTTGTTGATATATATCTTTTATTATTACTGGTTTGTAATTAGTGATTTGAAATGAACATGAAAGAAATATGTATAATTTGTTTAAACCCTTCATTTTAGGTTTCTGATGCTAAATGCAATTCTGAAATAGCATTAGCCTCTTCAAACGAAAATCATAATAGTGTTAGCCAATGCTGTAATAAGAGGTTATTATTTCTTTTGGCTTTTGCTTTTTTTATATAAACTATAAATGTTGCTAATTATTTTCATTATTTCAGTGATAAAATAGATTTTGAACAGTATAAAGTGCTACAAGCTTTTATGACTGAACTGCAAAGCATCATACAAGGACTTTACGAAGCTAAATTAAATGATCTTAAAACTCTTTTATGCACATGTTGTAGCAACTCTACATGTTCACCCCATGAAAGGCCAGAAGACTTATATTTAGATGATGCAATGGATTACGCTAATGATAGTGATGAATGCTCTAATTGTGATGCATGCGAAGCAACTCTAAAAGAAACTAATTTAAGTAGTCAATGTGGTTGTGTAGATCCATCAGGTAAAATTATTATATAATTGAAAGAGTAAAAACTTCGAATTGACATAAAAGGAACTTGCTTGCTTTTTTACAGTAATCTTTGGAGTGTAAAATAATTGATAATGAAATTTATATTACTCCATCATTTATTAATTAATTTCATTGCAATAATGATTCATCCAAACAACATGGATTTATTATGCACAAAGCTTTCGATAGCCATCTCTGTCATCAAAAGAATTAGATATATATTAAATAAGGCTTGTGTCAAAGATATTTACTATGCTTCTTCACTTTTTGTTCTTTTTAAGGCAAATCAGTGGGTATGCAAAAACAAAAGTAGTGCTAAAAAGCTGTTCAAAATATTATAACTATTTCATTATTATTAGTAGTATTTTGTCTGATAGTATAACTGTGGTAGGAGAGCACTGTATTTTTTCCATTCCTCTTTTCTTCTATTTTTTATTTTTTAACACTAGCGTTCATGATATTGTGTATTATGTCATGAACTTCAATTTTCTGTTCTTAATTATCTCTTCTCATCTTAGTTGTATGGCATTTAGATTCTTTTCAGATCTTAGTTTTCGACCAGTTTTTATTGTTTTTTCTTTGATGACTTTGATGACGTGCAAAAGGAATTTTTCTTTAATAAGTGTCTAATACAGTTTCCGTTTCTTCATATCCGATAGTACACTCACTGATTCATTTTAATATAAACAAATTCAGTAATGCTGATTGAATATTTTTTTTGAAATTTCATAAATTTATTGAATATTATTGATACGTATAAAAATTTAAAATAAACATTTTTACATTCGACACATTGGCTGTTTTATTCAATTCAATATGTTTCAACAACAAACATAAAATCCTCAATATATATATATATATATATATATATATATATATATATATATATATATATACTAAGTTTATTTTATTTTTAGGGTATCCTCATCACACCTCAAGGAAATTACGTAATCCAAAATGTATTGATGCAAGAGTAGTATATCTAGTTGAAAGGTAAATTCATACACACCTTCTACTCTTCGGTTATATCCTAAAAATCTGTGATATCTTATGAAATGAAACATAAGTAAAAACGATTCTGCTTCTGATCCTTTAAACTAAATATTTTCTTATAGATAATGAAAGATTGAATTGTATTACAAGTGTGTTCAAAATTAATTAGCCCCTCAGATAATATAGATTTTTATAATTTGATTTATGTTGATTTATTATCTTAATGATGTATGGAGAACTTTACCTAATATAACAACAATACAATCATTATAATTAATTTTATAAACACAATTGATAATTATATATTTTTCTGTTTTTGATTTTATGATGGAAGTAAGGAGCCAATAGTGATCAAATTTATAAACCAAAAGAAATCCTTTGTTAGAAAATATCTTTTTCTAAAAAAAAAAAAAATAAGCATAACTACCTAAGATAAGACAAGGACAAACTTTTTAAACTAGACATTGTTTTATTTCCTAACACGAATGAATTCCAAACCAAATGAAACAATTATGTAAAAAATGTTTAATATGTTCATAATACATATGACTAATTTTAATTATATACTTTCAATTATATAATTAATATTTTATTTAGGGCACAATATTGATTTTATTGTTTCAATTATTTAAATTCTTCTTGTGGAAATAAAAATAATTTATCTTTAATTAACATAATCTGGTTTAATAATTTTATTTGTAAATAGTTCAGAAGTGCTGATTGGAGATACACATTTAGTGCTAAAACATACAAATGAAATGTTTCCTTATATTTGCATTATGATTTATCTATAACATTTTTCTATACATATAAATTTTAGTAAAAAAAAAATTGTAACTAAACATTTAGATTATTTTAAACATGAAATGTTAATTTATATAATATTATTTAACAGGTTATATGAAAACAATCCGCATAAATTGTTCCAGCAGCTGGAAACACAAGTGCATAACATAATAACAAATTTATATAATCATCTAGAAACATTTATGAAAAATCACAATAATGATACCAAGCATTCCAGACTTTTCATTGATCGTAAGTTTTATGTATTTATAAGAACTAGTTTTATATATTGTTCCAAAATAATTCATGTTCTTTTGGTCTGCATCAGAATCATGTCTCTCATCAATTGTGCAGAGTATTATAAGTTTGATTTGCTATTATTTTTTTTAAATTTGTAGTAGTGTTTAAATTCTTAAGTAGCTGTTTACTTTCTCAAGTAATGAAAAGATTATGAAAGTAGAAATGATTCTGATCTTTTAATAATAAGAGTTTTTGTTAAATGGTAAAATAAGTCTTGAAGAAATTTAAATATAAAAAAAAAATTATATGATTTAGTTTATTAATTGCCTACACACACGCATATATATTTATTTGATAGTGATTATTGCTTATTTATGAATATCTGTATTATATAGTTATTTTGGAATGCTATCAAAATCTATGTTCTGCTGCCAAACGTGTTGCGCCTATACTAATGCAGTTACAAAGAGGTCACTTATCAAAATTTTCACTGACATGGGATCTATTGAATAGAAGTATTTATTTGGAATGCATTCATATGAAAATGCAACCTTATGTTCTAGAACTTATATCTCAGGTAAGTACACCAGTTCAAAAAAATAAAGCCAATATTTCATTTTTATGCAATTAAATTTTGAATTCTCAGTGTCGACAAGTGCAAACTGGTGCTAAGCTGCAGAGAGATGATTTGGTACAACGTTATATAAAATTAGATGGTGAAATGACTTTAATCTCAGCAATGTGGTATGATGTTAGTGCAATGATTGAAGATTACAAGTAAGATATCGTGCAATTTATTATTTTTATGAAAATACTTTTTTACAAACTTGGTGTCTTCAATTCGATAAAATTTTAAATACTAAAATCTAATTGAAAAAGCAGATTTTTTTAATGATTTATAGTTTCTATTTTTGAGTTTATAAATAAGCAATTCATAATCGGTAATTCTAAATATTATATTGGGTTCTTGTCAAGCTTAATTATAACAAGTAGCTGAAAGAATATTATTTCATGATATACATAGTTGTTGAAGATTTAAATAAAACCTGAAATTTAATTATACGTCATAAGTATTAATTTGTCAATTTATAACTGCGAAAATAGTAATCAAAGATTGTACAAAAGATGAAATGGGCAAATAATGATACAGTTTTAGTGAGAAAATAAATATTTCAAAAGAATACGTTTGTTGTTTAAGTTCCAGATATTGAGGTGTTCAAATATTATTGATGTGAGCTTATTATGTAGAATATAAATCGATAACTCTGCAACTAAAAATCATCTATACATATCTAATATTTTAATTACAAATTATGATTATTAATGAAAATATTTAAAAAATTTAAGATGGATTCCATTTACATTCCAATTTGTGCTATCTAGCTAAATATAATATAATTAAATCAGTTATTAAAACTATTGATAAATTGAGCTCAGAATTACGCAGTCAATAAATATTTACTAAGATAAACACAATTTGTATATTTTTTATTCTTTACAGCAATGATCAGTTGGTATCACAAGATCAGCAAAAAAAATTAGATAATCGATATCAGGTGTTATTAGATTTGGAAACAAAGCATAAGAAGTTAAAATTTCACAAGTAAGTTAGTTTTGCAATACTACAATTATCTACACAAGTAAATTAGTTTTGAAATACCATATTATTGCTTTTACTATACTCTCTTTTTTTTTAAGGATAAAGAGGTCTAATTCAGAGCCAGTAGGCATGCAATCCCAGAATAGTAACTCTAATTTTGTTTTAACTTCTACTTGTAACAAGTGTTCCAATGTCACAAATGCAGGTGAGATTATACTTCTTTTATTTGCAAATGATTATCAACCATATAATTGAATCAAAAACAATTTTATATGCATTATAATCAACCATATACTTGAATCATAAAAACAATTTCATATGCATTATAAGTGTAAGTTCATTACTTACTCTTATAAGGCATAATGCATATTTAGCAGCAACTTGATAGTTTTTATTGGATAAGTATAATTCGGAAAAAGGGACAATATTCATATATTTTTTATTTCTCAGCAAATGATGAAATAAAAAGTCTATACCAGATCAAATCTATACCAGGCTTAGTCAATAATTCTTGAAAGTGGTATTTTGACTTAAAGCAAGTTCTATGAACTTTCCGAAATATGTAATAATTGACAATTGTTGATTATTATCGACCAAAATTGAGATTCAGATATTTAGATGAAATTTTCAACTGTTTATTTTGAAAAATAAAGTTTTTTGTTTTCAATTAAAATCTAAATATTATGATTTCCAATTGATGTCTATCAAACACATTTAAATTATCTATAATTATATTAATTATAGTGCACAAACACTATATGCTTGAATGTCCTAAAATTATAGCTTATCATTCTAAATATTAATTATTTTATATAATTCAACCAATTTTTGTAGAACTGTTTAGTGCATAAACTTTATCACTATGTTAAATTTCACGAAAAACATCAAAACATTTTTCTTTAGAAAATTATTTTGTGAACTATTAAGCATCTGCTTCAAGAAAATACTGGGACGATTACGTAAATCATATACGTGGTCCTCCATATTATTTAATGATTTAAAGTAACATTTTTTACACAATTGGAAATGTTTTGTAGACTGCTTATTTACTTTTTGGCTAACTTCAAAGCCATTTCTAATGGATTGGACAATCATTTTGCCAACCTTATCGTGGCTCTTCCTTATACTTTTAAATTTATGAAATTCAAATATTAACTTATCACATCACAGAACGACTTTTGATACAAGTTTTGACTATTTTTGCAAATGTTGATGAATTTTTTAAATTAAACGACTTATTGCGTAGCCGTAATATTTTAGTATGTTCTTTAAGACCATGAAATATATCGTTATAAATATGTTTCATAAAAATTGACAAAAAAAATTTTTAACGGTTAGTTACAAGAAAACGGCCGATCTTCACTAAAAACTAATCAGAGCGATTCCCAACCAATATCTTTCGAACGGTTTTAGAATTTTTAAAATCGATTCAGAATTGTGAGCTAAAGATATGGACAAATTTTACACTTTTTTTTACAATTACAATGAAATGGCTCGGTCGATTGTCGCGCAGAACTGAAAAACTCTTGTTCTCATCGAGATATATCGAATGGCTTTTAACTTTTTAAAATCGGTTCAGCTATTTTTGAGAAAACGTCGGCGAAAGGTAAAAAATCGGCTCACATACACATACGCACAGCCATATATGCACATAGACATACTTTTTCCAAATTTGTTCGCATTGGATTCAGAATGGCTTGAACATGAAATTAACAAGTCGGATTTTGTCGCGAAAACAAACTTTTCCTTCGGGAAGTTAAAAAATAATTTAATTTGGTGAGTAGTTCTGATTTTGTAATTGCTCTTTAAAATAAATCAGTTATTTCAATATTTAGTATCATAGTTATGATATGCAAAATACTGAAATATATTTGATAAAAATGCATCTTCAACCTTAATAATATTGAATACAATCTTTCTTCGCTTGATTTTATTTTTTTTGGCTGATATTGTTAGACCAATTTTTAAAAAAGGACCAAGATTTTTTGAAAAGTTTTAGTTTTTTTATGCTTTGAAATATTTTGGAAATTTTGAACTTTCTTTAAAGCAATTTTTATATATTAAGTCTTCGTATTAAGTATTAAGTTTTTGTAGAAACGAAATATCGAAGCGCGTGAGCGCCGCGTCGCAGTCTAACGGATAAACATTGGTACAGAACCCATATAAATGTAAACAAAATTTGTTTTTATTGTTAAAATATATATAAAATATCTGATAATTTGATGTGCATAGGTCCAATAATCATTTTTGTCCGCCAAATGGCCTTTTTAACTTCCCGTAGGGTAGTTATAGTAATGAGCCGAAAATCGAAAATGAAAATTTTTGCATTTCTCGACGCTTTGAAGGATTGTGAACATTTTGGCATACCTCAGAAAAAATGGATGTGTGTGTGTGTGTTTTTTGTATGTCCGCATTTTTTTAGTTTTCGGGCGCACGGATCAACCGATTTGAATGGTTTAAAAAACATTCGATTCCTATTAATAGAGAGATGTGCTGATTAGTTTTTGGCAAAGGCAGGTGCAGTCATTACGGAGATATGGAGCAAAGAGTGCAAAAAATAGAAATGTTTTTGAGAGAACGGATCATCCGATTTGTATGATCTAAAAAACATTCAGTTCGTAATGACGGGGAAAAGTGGTTATTAGTTTTTGGCTAAGGTAGGCCCAGCGGTTTCGGAGATACAGAGCTAAATGTTAAAAAGTTGGCAGTTTTTGAGAGAACTAAGCGTCCGATTTAAATGATTCAAAGAACTTTCTGCTTGTTTCAACAAAGTTATTGCCTTTGAGAAAAAAAAGTTGTATCTAATTTTTTTTTTTTCAAAAAATATTTTTGTAATTTTGGATTAAAAATTCAAAAAATTACCCAGGCTAAGCACAGTCTTAGCGCCACTCTGGTGCAAATGTTTACGCAAGTGCGTTTAGACTGTTTATGTACTGGAGCACTTTTCCAATTTTGTAAAAACTATTGAAAAATGTGAAAATGTCGCACAGAATTGTTTGCAAATGTTTAGGCTGTGACTATACCGGAGCACTTTTTCAATTTTGTGTAAATTAGGCAACTATTTTTTTTTTTTTTGAAATTGAATTCGAAATGAAATGACGATTGTTAATGTTCTGGAGATAAATTGATTTATGATTTACATTTGATTTGCTCAGATATAACACGATAGCAAAAATAATGAAAGTATTTGTAATAATATATTGGAAAACGTTTAAAATTTCTCGAATATTTACGGTACGGGAAGTTCCAGCAATTTGCTTTAAGGCACGATGCCATGCACCACTAGTTACTGTTTTTATTGGATCTGCGAAACGGCTAGACTAGCGTTCCCAAAATTCATCAGTTCTTTATTTCGTCAATACATTTAAAATGGTTTTGCCCCGTATCTTTGGAGCAGCTAGACCTGCCTTTGTCAAAAACTAATCAGCACATCTCCCTATCAATTGGAATCGAATGTTTGTCGAATCATTCAAATTGGTTGAACCGTGCGCCCGAAAACGTGGACGAAAAAATGCGGACATACAAAACACACACACACATCCATTTTTTCTGAGGTATGTCAAAATGTTCAGGAACCTTCAAAACGTGGACAAATGCAAAAATTCATTTTCGATTTTCGGCCCATTACTACAACTACCCTACGGGAAGTGAATTAGTTGTATATTATAAATATTTGTATTTTTATACTCCATTTATGTTCATAGAATTTCTTTTCAACATTTGTGTTTTTGCTTTATTTAAATATTTTCAAAAGGCAATTTTTTGTGTTTCTCATATTCGATATTCCCAAAACAGTATTAGTATTGAGAATAAACAGATTCTTATATGACACTATATGATCATACATGTGAGAGAAAGCTTAGAACCTTTTTTAGTTACGACGGGCCAACAGCCACTGCTGACGAATCAGCCGATGATAATAAATTTTATTCTGATATTTGTTTAAATTTTTGCATTAGTTGCATTGCATTGCTATTAATTATTACTTGCTATGACAAAACTTTTTTTTTAAATCATTTGATTTACAATAGCTTAAAAAGTATTTTTAGATAAAAAATCTGTAACAGTTCGAATTGTTGTCAATATTTGCATGTACTAGTTTTTAAATTTATTACATTACATTAAAAATAATTACGTAATTATGTTTATTAGATATTTCGTATATTTGATTCGATATTTTAAGACTTTGGATTTATATTTAATTTTAAGGCTCTTCGTCTAAAACATGTACATACAGAGAAAACTGCCAATGTTTTTCGCCTGACCTTTGTATTTCTGAAGAAGTAATACGCGTTTTAAACAAAGAGACAGGTACAAACAGCATAAATTTGTTAATATATTAAATTATTTTTTTGTATCAATGCATTAGGGCAATTCTTATTTAATTTTCAGATGGCACTGTTGATAGTACCAATATTAAAGCATCTTCAACAGCACGTGGTGATATCGTGTACTTACCTGGAGATGGCAAAAAACTAACCTCGAAATCAAATGTTGAAAATAAATCATTGCTCAGCAAGGATGCTTCAAAGGTTCTTTCTAATCTTAAATTGGATAATAGTGGAAATCTTCAAACTATAAAACCAACGAAACAGTTTATCATACCAAATGAAAATTTGGACGATATAAGTACGTACTTATTTCATAATCAATAAATCTTAAAATCAAATATTAATTGATTGTTAAAACAAATATTACATAGATATTAACCACTTAATGCTTACGGTCGAACTCAGTTCTTTCGTGCAAAACTGGCAAATTTAGCACATGAATAAACTCAGTTTGTTCATAGAAATTTTTAAACTTATCGCAAATTGTTGGACGATCGGATCACTAAAAGAGCTTTATAATATTTTATATTATATTTTACTATATATATTAATGTAAAAAAAATCAGTAACTTTAATGCTTCAAATATAATTATACACCAACCGTTTTTTTGGGTTTGCGATTCGATTCCCTCATTTGTTATTATGAACTAAACCATACTGAACACATTGCAATAATAAAAATATATTTGATGATTTTTTGCCAGTAAATTTAAAAAAAAATGTGAGCATTAAGTGGTAATTAAACGAGTAAAAGTAAACGGGTTGTAGTAGTCTAACTTTGAAGATCACATCAATTTTGAACTTTTTTGCACTTTACTAGCCAGTACAAAATAAAAATAATAAATCACAACAATGATTACCTCTTCATTTGCTCAAATATTTTTTAGAATACGTTTTTGTATTCGAAGCAGTTTGTAAGTTCTCTCATTTTCAAAGCTTTATAATTGTAATTGTAATGTAAGTATTACATATACATAGTAATGTAAGTTGCGTTCCTGTTATATGCAGCTATAAATGCATTGCCTTTTTCAACCAAAAGTTTAAAAGTGTAAATTTACGTTAAGAAAAGGTATCTATTTTTAACAATATTCATTAATTAATTGATGATATTTGATAATTCATCTAGTTTAATATTTCATTAATCGAATAAATAAGATGCTCTATAAGATATTTCCCGACGTCGCTTTGAAAACGTTCCTGCTTCTACATATTTTTTTATTGGATAATCTGTTATATATGTCAACACCTAGATTATTTCTTTGCGAGGATTTGAGCTTTAGTTTTTGAAGGTGGCAACAGCACTCCTGTTATGCGTGTGTCCAATGTTGACCATGGACGTAACTCTGAGGACGTTGTTTTTTTTGTCTGCATGGTAGTGAATTTTATATTTAGAAAACAAAGGTCTGCCGATTATAAATCCTTTATCTTGGAGATATGTGCCGAGTGTCTCCATGCCAAAATGCCATACGAGAAGACATGGCAAAGTAGTCCTTTTTGGTACATCTTCATTTACAATAAATCTAACTCTTCTGAGAGCATATACTTATTTTAAAAACTTAGTTCATATCATTTGTGTGCTTAGGTTAGGCAAGAACGAACTGTCTATAGTTAACCCAAATATTTATCTCCTGTATCAATCTTTTTATGCATCTTTCTGCAACTAAAGTTGATGTGGACTATTTTACTGTTTTTCAATACAATTTTGATTTGTTTTATTTGCGATGCTTATATCCCCAATCGTCTACCAATAGCATCTATATTTCTGTCTTTGATAGCTTATGTTCGTTGATCTTTCACAAATATAATGTAAACATGGAGTCCACGAATTCTTTGTTGAGCAACCTCTATATTCATTTTTCCTACGACACTTCGTTTTTTTTATTCTATTTGATAGAGTAATACAAATTACTGAGGTTTCAGAGCATTTCAATTTTTTAAAAAATCCTTGACTGAGTTCGCAAAATAGTACTCCGCCAGTGACTGATACATAAAATTCAAAAAGTCGATTATATACATTTTATTTATTAACACATTTTTTTTACAAAATAGTTAATAACATTGAAGAAACTTGTAATTCTTAGTGACTATAATTTTAACAATAACAATTCTATAATTTTTGAAAATATTGACAGTATGAGTCTATAATAGCTTGTTCCTGTTTGACCAATTCGTGATTTGTTTAGTTGGTTTACCTGCTAGCTTCTCTAGAAAAATTCCTGTAGAAAAAAATAGTAGATATTTGCTTTTTTACGCAACAGTTCATCAATATACTTTGGGACTGAACTTATCAATTTTACATCAATACTAAATGCAACAAATGGCATTTTTTTAAGTTATTAATTATTTCTGGAATTTACTTCTTTTGTTCAAACAAATGTCCTCTACGTGCATCAATCGAATCGAAATGAATGATTCATCAATCGAATTGAAATGAATGATGCCTTGTACTGAGCACGTTAGTCTTTTAGTTTACTAGTTAGTTTTTGCGAAGGGTACAGGGTGCAAAGGGTGCCAAAAAATGGTCATGCAGCTTTTGTGACCGGAAAATCCGTTTAACAGATGAGAATGATTCAAAAGATTGTTGTTTGTTTTTTGTCAGTGTGAAAAAATCATTAGTTTTTGTGAAAGGCAGGCAGGTTTAGCGATTACGAATCATTTTTTTTTTCTAAAATTGATTAATTATTTAAAATTTCAAAATTTTAATATTTTCATAAAAAACTAAATTTTCACAAAATTAAAATCAATTTTTTTCAGATTTTTTTTTCAAAAGTTTTAAAATTTTAGAAATATTTCAAAATTTTAACGTTTTTACAACTTAAAAAAAAATCTATTTTTTTAAATATATCGGAAAGTATACATATTTTATGAAACATACACAGTTTTTCTCATTTTCAAAAATCTGAAAGCTCGCTTAATTGCGTAAAATAATCTGTTCTCTATGCGTCATTCTAAATAATTCTTTGAAATATGAGACAAGGTCCTTGAATAGATTCAAGGATTCAATTTGATAAATAAAATAGAGAAACTTGCTATTATTAAATATCAATTCTGTGACTATACCGGAGCCCTTTTTCAATTTTGAGTAAATTAGGCAACTATTTTTTTTTTTTGAAATTGAATTCGAAATGAAATGACGATTGTTAATGTTCTGGAGATAAATTGATTCAAGATTCAAGGATTCAATTTCATAAATAAAATATAGAAACTTGCTATTATTAAATATCAATATCATCTTGTTTTTTAAAAAAAAATTAAAATTAGACAACAATATTGAGTTTGGAATACACACGATAAATTGACAGCATGTTTGATTGCCTTCCGTAAAAAATGAAACGTTGGACGGGAAGGAAGGAATTATTGTATCGCTTTATTTTTTAACTGAAGTTCATATTGTTTTTATTGTGATATTCCTAAACGCCGTTATGAATAAAATTTATGATTATTATTCACATTATTATTTATAGATATTACAGATTGTAAAAAGCATCACAAGGCAAAAGTTTTGCAAAAAATTCCAATTCACAGTCCGACATGCAATTCAGGATTGAATAGTTTATCATCTGGAGAAAATAGTGCACCTACGATTGCGCCAAATGTCAAATCCAATCAAATATCCTCGTGTCCTAAACATGGGAAAAGAAAACTTTACACGCCTGATTGGGAATCTAAAACAAGGTAATCAAAATGAACTAAAAATTTTACTCCTTATGAAATTAAACATATTAGATCAAGGGCGAGCAACCTTTTTAACCCACGGGCCAATTTCGTTTTCAAAATTTTATGGCGGGCCGCACGTAATTTATATATATACTAGCTGACCCGGCGAACGTTTAGCCACCGAAAATATTTTTAGAAAATCATTAGTATTAGAAATGAAAGGGGCAGCTAACACATATTACATTGATAATTTACCCACTACAACGCTAAAATACTAACATACATATTCGAATTAAGTTATGCTATGCTTAGCAAAACGAGTGAGATTTCAATAACTCTGAAAATAAGTTCACGTTTTCTCTCAAAAACAGTTTTATCTTCAGATTTTAATATTAAATTTCTAATTTTTTTGCTAGAATTGTGCCTTCTGCAAAACATTCAAAAACTATGTACTTTTAATGCACATCGGAAAATATTTGTGCAGTAGGATAAGCCTGCAAATTAGTTAGTTTTATCGGAGGTAACCATTTCATTGCCAATATCTAAGAATTTAATTGGTTTTAAAATATTGCAGCGAATAGAGCGGATAAATTTAACCCTTTTTATAATCTCAGAAAAATCTTGATTGAATTTCAATTAAAAAGGTTCACAAAAAAGACGATAATAGTTAATTGATCGATTACCGAGCTAAATAAAAATGATTGGACTACTAAAATGACTATAAAATAATGAAAATTTGAAGTTGTATGTAGTTTTCCATTCCGCAAGAAAAGATAAAGAACAAAATTTAAAAAATTGTTACGGTCGTACAACCCATGATAAATATAAATTGATTTTTCTTTTTGAATAAAATTGAAGCTTTTTCAAAAGTCTGAACTAAAATTAGGTCAAAAGATTTATTGACTGAGTGCGGGAATAATGTAACTGCAACAGAATTACAAAATTGCCACAAGATAAGAACAAAAATACAAAATTGAAAAAAGTATATATTTTATATAATTACGAGTGTATACTATAAGTGTTTATAAATAGAAATACAAAATAAAAACAAATAATAGTTAAACAGAAAAACTAATTTACTTGAAAACTTAAGAAATTTGGAATTGCTTTTTTATATAAGCTGTTTTTTTTAATTTTGTTATTTATTTTATTTTTTTAATATGGAAAGTAGCAACACGTATGCAGCTTTGATATGTTTTACTCAGTTTTGATAGGTGGTATTTTTTATGAATTTCATGGTTGAAATTAACACAGGTTCACAAAAAAAGTTGTTTGGATGGGTCGATGTACTTTTACTGCTGAGTATATATATATATATATATATATATATATATATAATATGGAAAAACATTTAAAAACTGGCATAAACTTGAATCTAGCATTTTTCTGAATGAATGAATTATTATCCAGCGACTGTGCTTTTGTGGACCTGTGTAATTGTTCGCACACATAAGTATTTCCAAAAAAACAATTTATCATAATTTGATTTGAGTTTTTTCTTCAAAAGCGAAAATTTCTCAGGGCTGACATTATAAAAAATTGCGATGTTTACTGGAAAAATAAATTTTCTAAATATGTATTATTTTGCATGGTTAATGGCGAAGAAAACATTTACATGAAAACACAGCTGTTTTGTTAGCTTTAACCACAAATTAAAATCTTTTATTACCAAATTGACAAAAGTACTACAATTGTTCTTTCATATCCAAAAACAATTGTAGTTCGTCGTATACTCCTTTAAGCATTGCATCACTATTGAGCTAACGTACTTTGGTATTGAAAAGCACATCGTCATATTCACGCTCTAAAATGTCAAGAAGTTTTTAAATTCACGATGATTTAAACTTCGCGATATAAGTTCTCAATTTTTCTTGCAATATTGTTAAACTAATATTTATTTTGTTAGAAAATGCTATTTCTGCGAACAACAGTTTTTACCAGTGACAACAAAATTAGCCTTTACAGTCGTGTTTGATAAAATATATAAAAAAATAATCTGTAGTTGAGAAATGCTTGGCGGGCCGCAGAAAAACCACCGGCGGGCCGCATGCGGCCCGCGGGCCGCGGGTTGCTCATCCTTGTATTAGATATTTGTTTAATCTCTAAATCGTAAATGTTCTTTGATTATGGGTCTATCTAATAATAATCTTGTTTTTTTGTTGTAATTTTTTGATATTAAAACATATCTGAATTGTCTGGATTTCATAAAAATTAATAATCAGGGCGCAGAAACAAATTTGACATTGTTTTATGTGACATTGTTTAAATTGCTTGAATGATTGAATGATCAATGCTGATGTGTGACAGAAGTATACTTCCATATCATACCTATGTATACATATTAACATAAAATTAACAAAACATTTTAAAGCTTTAAGTAACAAAATAGTCAATGATAAATGAATAATGATTTGACTCAATTATAAATTAAAATTTGTTAAATCAGGTTCATCAGGTTAATTTTGAGTATTAAAATGTAAAAAATGTGTGATTTTATTTTATATTTTAGTTCCTCAGCAGGAAATGTTAAACCTGAGACACCTCATGGAAATAAGTCACATACTCATGGACACAACTGTAAGAAAAGTTTGTATAAATTCATTATTTTTTACTTATAAGTATAAAATGCTGTCTATAAATATGCTGTAAGTATATTTACAGACAGCTATGTAAGAATATTATCTTATATATATTTTCTTATATATAAATAATATATATATATATATATATAATTTATATACAGGGTGCTTCAAAAAAATGTATACACACTTTGAACTTCCATAGAAAATTTATTTACCGTTCTAGAAAGTTAAATTTCAGGAAAATAGAAAGCTGAAAGTTCAATGTAAATGAAACAAAAATAACAAATGTTAATACTGTTCAGAATGGTGACCTGCAGCCAGGGCCGGATTTAGAAATTTGGCGCCCCGGGGCACTAACAAAAATGCCGCCCCATCCCTGAAATTTTACGAATTTTCGAACTTTTTTTAAAACAATCACGCTGCTTCAGCTGCGTAGGGACAAAATATAGGAGCGCGTAAGCACCGCGTCGCAGTCTAACGAATAAACAATGTTACATAACCCATATAAATGTAAACAAAATTTATACTTATTATTAAAATATTTTCAAAATATCTGATAATTTGATGTGCATATGTCTTATGATCACTTTTGTCCACCAAATGTTTCTTTTTCAATTTTTTTTATTGGATCATCGAAAGTGCTAAACCTGCATCCCACAAATTTAAGCAGTTATTTATTCTATAAATTTTTTGAATGATATTGGACGCTTCTTTTCTCAACAACTAAATTATCATTTTTGGCATTTTGGCCCGTATCTTCAAAACATTTGGACCTGTCTTGGCCAATAACTAATCAGCACGTCTCCTTAACAATAGGAATTGAGTCATTTAATCGGTTGATCCGTGTTCACTTGAATAATTAAAAATATTAGATTTGTATTGATGGCAAGACGTGCTGATTAGTTTTTGGCACGAATTACGAAAAATGGTAATTGAGATGTGATATTTCTTCTCTAAAACAGCTACGCAGCGCGATTGCTTTGTAAAAAGTTCATAGTTTTCAAAAAATTTCAAAATACAAAAAATGTGTTTTAAAAGTCATTTTCTTTCATTTTCATTTTTTTTTCAATTTTAGAGCTCTTTATAAAATGTAATTTTCAGTACGGGATGTTTCAATAATTTGTCTTAAGGCACAATGCCATGCGTCACTAGTTTAAATTTTTTTTCAACGCTATAAGCTTGGAAGTGCAAAAATTCGTCATTTTAAGAAGGCTCGAGAACTGAAGAAAATATTTTTCTTAAACTTTCGGCTTGTTTACGGATCTTTATATTAGCCAAATTGACAAATTTGATAATGACTTATTAACCAATTTGATAATTTACGTTTGGAGAGGGAGGCAAGGCAAAATAATAAATTTTAATAATCGGTTTTCAACCCAAATTTTGAGTTGAAATCGTATTATGTTTTGTTAATAATATTTCTTGAAATAAAAAATGTTGTTAGAAAAAAGTTGATTATATAGTATAGAATTTTTTTCTCACTATCCAAATTTTGCCGCCCCCAAAAATTTGCCGCCCTGGGCAGTAGCCCCGATTGCCCCTACTGTAAATCCAGCACTGCCTGCAGCATCAATACAATTTTGAGAACGAGTCACCACTGATTCTGTTCATCGCAAGGTTGCAATTTTGTGAATGGATTCAGGAGATGGTGAAACGTGAAACGGGATATATGGGTGGCATCATTTAGCCCCGCACTATCACAGGGACGTACGAGCTTACCTGGATCAAAATTTGTCGGGCCAGTGGATAGGACGCAGGGGGCCAATCGAGTTTCTAGCACTTACAGCACTGGAGTTCTCCAGACCTTACAGCACTGGATTTCTTCTTGTGGCGCACAGTAATAGATGAGGTGTACAAACGTAAACCACATAACCTAGACATTCTTTGGAATGAGATTCAAGCAGTGTGTAGAGAAATCAGTATTAACATTTGTTATTTATGTTTCATTTACATTGGACTTTCAGCTTTCTATTTTCCTGAAATTTAACTTTGTAGAACGGTAAATAAATTTTCTATGGAAGTTCAAAGTGTGTATACATTTTTTTGAAGCACCCTGTATATACCTGAAACAAGCTTTGTATAGAAGTATAAGTCTTCTATAGAAACTATATAATGCAGAATATAGTTTTAATAAAATTAATTACACAAATGTAGTAAATATTGGAATCTAATAATGTTTTATAAAAAATCGATAAAATATACCGTGATAACAACATCTTACCTATTGCCTGTGTATGTCAGCCGAATTTTGACTTTAGATCGACGTTTTCTGAAGAACCGATTTTTAAAATTTAAGAACAATGCGTGCAGATAATCGCGTTAAAAATGAATTCTTCTTGAATAAGTTGATTATTTTTTTGCATATATCGGAAAATTTTTATTATTTATTCAATTGAAGTATACTGGACTTAAGAAATTATTAACACCAGGTTGCGGAGGTGAAGGCGATGGCCATGTTCATTGGACGCCGAACACGCATAACAAAGGATGCGCATGCTGTTACTGTTCTGTATATGATGGAGCTCCGGTAAGTATTTTAAATCTCTCACTAATTATTTGAATATAGAAACGTATCATAAAATGAAGATAGAAATATTAGCTACAAATATGTGCTATTGTCTGTTAATATTGTAATTTAATATGTTTTTATATTAATATAATTATTTTTGTCGTCATAAAATGTCATTACTATAGTTTTAGTTTTTCATTTAAATTTTATATTTTCAACTTTAATTAATTGTTTTGATAAATATATAATTTTTAATTTCTGTTTTACAGCCAAACACTTCAAGTCCTGTAAACAGAAAATATAATGAAGCTCGTGAAAGATTACGTGGTAAACTAAATAAAACTAAGGCTTTGAATACAGCAGCTTCTAAAATCAGCGCTGATGTAGCATCTTCAGACTCAAAAGGTGAAAATCATTCAATTATTCATTTGGCTAATGTTCAATTTCGAAAAATATTTAATCTCCGAGGTGTATGGTTAATGTTCAATTTTGAAAAATATTTATTCTCTGAGATATTAATTTTGTTTTTTTTTTTCTCGTTTGCTGTTTTAGTTCTGATAGTGAATGAATGTTCAGTAAGAATAACTACAATTTATTTTAGTGGTCAAGTCGACTTTCTTTCGCAAATTTTTATATTAAGCTGTTCAGCAAATTAGTACCACGTAAGAAAATGTCTTTGTATCAATTAATATTTACGGCTGCCGCTCTCAGAATAATTTTTAACTTCCCGAAGACGAAGTTTTTTTATTAAAAAATTCGATTTTTATGTTTTTCTCGACGTTTCAAGCCATTCTGAATCGAATGAGACCAAATTTGGAAAAGGCATGTGTATGTATAAACAGATTTCGTCGACCTTCTCCCAAAAACAGCTGCGCCGAATGCTTTGCAAACCATTCGACATAACTCGATTGCCAGTTTTGCGCAACGATCGGCCGAGCCGTAATAATAATTAATTCGTAAACAGCAAAAAAGTGAAAAAAGTTTTGTCCACGTTTTAGCCCGCAATTTTGAATCGATTATAAAAACTCAAAAACCGCCCGAAAGATATTTGGAAATCGTGCCGTTTCTTCGTAATTAACTGTTGTAATTGTTTTTCATGAAACTTTTAATGTTGATAGACATCATGGTCCTTATGAACATACTAAAATATTACGGTCCTATGATAAGTCGTTTAATTTTAAAAATCCATCAAACTTTGAAAAAATATGATACGAATTTGTGTCAAAAATCGCTTTGTGGTGTGATAAGATCAAATTTGGATTTCCCTAATTTAAAAGCCATTGGATTAAATTCGATAAAGAAAAAGTGCGATTAGGTTTGCGAGAAGATTGACCAATTCATTTTTTTGAAATTAGCGGAAAAATAATTTCTCTAGTTTAAAAATATATTAATTTAAATGATAAAATAATATGATGAACTACGATCATGATATATGTAATGGTGCCAATATTTTCTTATAGCAGATGCTTAATATTACACAAAATAATTTATCTTTATGAAAAAAATTCGATGTTTTTCATAAAATTTAATATGGCGATAAAGTTCATGCACTAACTAAACAGTCCTACTAAAATTGGTAGAATCATATAAATTAGGCTTGCAACGAATAGAATGTTCGGCATACTCCCATGCCCATGACCGAATATTCGTAGTTGTTATATTGAAAACTCACTACATGTTTATTCAAATTTTATGCTTAGGCTCGCAACGACTATTCAGTTACTTTCTGTTATTTGGAAAATTCGACACCATTTGTACTATTTGGCCGAATACCGAAAACTTAACCCTTTCGACTCGGATGCCGCCGCTCCGGCGGCAAATCGTGTCGTCGCGAGCTAAACTTACAACATGTGATTTTTTCATGCTTCTGAAAATACTTCACTATTAAGTTCATTTATTGATTAATTTATAATTATTTTCATAAATAAATATGATAAAATTAATCAAATAGCTCATAAGCACTATTATTTTTTAGATATAAATGTTACTAGAGATTTCATTTTATATATTATTTATATATATATATATATATATATATATATTTATATATGCAATGTAATGTATTATACATATGCATATTATACATACATACATACACACACGTGTATATATATATATATAGATAGATAGATAGATACTTTATTTAAATTCAATATTTACAATTTACGTCAATACAATTATTATTTTTATCACAATATTATAATATAACTATAGTAATATCAGTGATATTTATGAACAACTCAAGATTAACCTAATGACAATTAATAATTAACTTAGATTAAAGAATTAATTTATTGTATAAATAGGTTGATCTATAGGATGTTTTTTGACAGTCGCATTGAAACAATTCCTGCTTTTCAATTTCCATTCATTGGGAAGCTTGTTGTAAATTTCGACGCCACATTCTATCGCTTTCCGACAGTAAATAGCAACACCTCCGTGCATATGTATACTACTGCAGAATGAGCTGACTAGCCGAAAATCACGTATATAGGTCGATTTTGCTCGTTGCCAAGCCAATGTTCACATAAACAAAAAATGTTTATTTTATTGTCATGGACAACTTTTGTTAATGCCTCCGTTTTATTGGATAAACATTGAATGTTCAAGGACATTATATATTAAACCAGTTTAACAATTTTTCTTCGTTTTTTCTCCCAGATGAAATAAAAAACGGTCCACACAGACTCCTTTTGGCCAAACATCCGGAGATTTTATTCTTTCCAATTCACTCTCTGCAACGGATACCTTGAAAGAGGCATATGTTTTCGGATGTTTAGAAGCCATTTTCTCACATTCAATATTTTTGAAGTTTTTCTCATTTAAATAATTTTTTAGAGTTTCCGTCGATGTTTCCGGTGCCAGGCGAAACACATGCAAGTGAGCCTTCCTCACAACTCCCGCGAGTGTAGTGCTCACATTTGTTCCTTCTATGGCTTTGTTTTTTCGTTTCGGCGACTTCTTTTTCTGGACCAAAGTCCAGTTTCCATCGTCACTTGCTTTAATTGATTGTTGTTCAGTTTGGGTCGATTGATTAGGCAGCTCCGTGTTGGCAACCGCATCTCGGAATGTTTCGCTTCTACGCTTGTCTAATTCCTTTAAAGCAGTTGCTACTGCAACACTCACCTGTTCTTTTGAGACCTTATTAGCATTGGCACTATTTTTATTGGTAGATTTATGTTTAGGCTTCTTAGATGCTGCTTTCTCAGTATTACTATCAATATTGGGTGCAGCTGACGAAACTTCTTTATTCTTTTCATTTGGCTTTAATAATTGCAGCATCTTAATTTTTTCTTCAAGATTCTGAATTATGTATTCCTTATCCTTCATTATTGTCATTTTATCGTCTATTATGGTATTTTTGTCGGTAATTGTTTGTTTTAAGTTGTTAATAGTATCCATATGTTTGTCACTCGACACTTCACTGCTCACCTCACAGCACTGTATCAAATTTCCAACAATGAATTTAAAACCTTTTCTTGTGGCACAACTCACATGGTAAATTTTGCCACAGTTCTTACAAACACCCACACTTGCAGAAGGTTTTGTTTCACAGCAGTTGTAGGTTTTTTTGGAATCCGATTCCAAAATATTTAATTGTGTCAGAGACATTACGACACTTCAAAAAACACGTCCGCACGGTTCAACGGTTCAACACACATGTATATATATATATATATATATATTGAATGGTAGAATCTTGGATTTTTGTATATTTTGTAGAGTTTCGAACAAGAATCCAAAAGTAATAAAAAAACAAGAAAAGTTTTTAATAAACAATTTCTTTATTTATTTATTTATTTATTTACTGTCGACGTTTCGGAACTAGGTACGTTCCATCTTCAGGACATCTGTCAAGAAACATGATCTTGATGAGATTCAAGCAAACAATATGTTTAGGAAAAGAAAATAGATTTTTCTTAACCACTAATTTGTTTCCAAAAGCCGATCGCATAACATCGAGAGAACAATATTATTTGTGTTTTCAAATAATAATTTTAAAAAAAGACAAAACTTTTAGTAATTTTGATTTACAAAATTTAACTATTCGGCGGAAAAATAACTCACAAATTCATTTTTTGTTTTAAAAATCTTGTTTAGTGAAAAAGTGCTAACTTATATTCAAACATACAAGTAATTAATTCAATTTTGTCATTAACCTTTTCTTAAAATTTTCCATAACTTTCAAAAAAATTCTATCATTTTTAATATCCTGTTCTGATAATCCACTCATTTATTTTTATCATTTTTATTCTGATCATATTATCATATTTCTGTACATTATTATTTTTTGCAATTAATTTATTATTTAAGAAAAATCTATTTTCTTTTCCTAAACATATTGTTTGCTTAAATCTCATCAAGATCATGTTTCTTGACAGATGTCCTGAAGATGGAACGTACCTGGTTCCGAAACGTCGACAGTAAATAAATAAATAAAGAAATTGTTTATTAAAAACTTTTCTTGTGTTTTTATTACTTTTGGATTCTTGTTCGAAACTCTACAAATATATATATATATATATATATATATATATATATATATATATATATATACGAGTAAGTTCTTGTGGGGCGATACATCAAAGAATAAAAAGCAAAGATTTTTAAATTAATCTTTAATTCCAAACGTTTCGACATTCAATTTAATGTCATCATCAGTGGATATTAACGTTGGTAGGTTACATCTAGAGAAGTGTGCACAACACTAGAAATTAGCACTAACATTTATACAACTAACTTGTCAACACCATTCATTTTTTATAATTTTTTGTATGATGTAAAAAGAAAAATGACAGTTTTATTTGAACAAAAATCTGAGTAAAGTTAGGTAATTTCTGCCACGACTTGTGTACTTTGCGAGTTCCGAGGCTTATGTCGTGACAGGTTTAATATTAACCGTATCTACTTTATAAGAATATTGTTTTTTTAATTATTTTTTTTATTTAGTTTTTATTCAGAATATATTTGATATAATTTTTATTAATTAATTTTAATAAACATCTGTGTAGAAACGATTTTTAAATTAATAACATGGTTTTTATCATATTTAATTTTTTTTTTCAAATTTTCTGTTTTATCTTCATACTAACTGAATTTAAAAGCAATTTTATCATATTTTAAAAAAATCTGATACAATAACTAATACTAAATTCCGAGTTGTGAGATATGTATAGCACTATAATATACCGAGCGCAGCACACCGTCCAGCAGTCAGGCTCCCGAGTGGAAGTGTTAAAAAAAACTTACGAACATTTAAATAATCATTGATTTTATATATTAGAAAACTTAAGCATTAGAAAAAATTAGAAATTTGGAAGATGAGAATTAAAAACTAGTTTTTTGCATTTTTTGGAAGTGGTTTACGTTTTTCTTCCAGTTTCAGAGAAAAGGTTGTGAAAAAACTCTACTTGGCACCGATAAATACTTTGCTTCATTTTTTATCAAAAACAAAAATTGAAAATGAAATTTTGTTGATTGTCATGATTTAATATATTATATTAAGCATTCTTAAGAAAAGGAAATGAATTCATAGATAAGGATGAACTCTTAACTCTATATATGGAGCGTAATCATTGATTGATTCCTTTTAAAAATAACAAATATAACAGTAACGTGTTCATTTATAGTAATAAATGGCAAGTCGTTAAAATTTAATTTATTATGTATGTATACGATCAAGAATTCATCTCCAATCTTATGTTATCTAAACCTAATGTCACATCGTAAGCTCTTTAATGCATGAAACCAGTGCCGGTTTTTCCACTACCAGGGTGAGATTTCTACGGCGCCCTTCAACTACAATTCAAACCCATTCGAAAAAATGGAAAACATTTAATGAAATAACCGTTTATTTAAAAAAATAATTATTTATTATAAAAAATAACCATTTATTACAAAAACACTAATAAAATTTTACTTTTCTGGCCTTTCTATCAGCGAACTATTTTATAAGGTTGTCAAAGTCGATGTTTTCAGCAATTTCGTTTTCAATTGACAAAGTTGCTAAGTTTGTCAATCTAGATTGGAAAATTGTTAAAATTGAAAGATAGGTTTTTATTTAGGTTTAATAATATTCGCAATGCTATCCATACATTTGGATACAGTTCTTGTAAGTTGCAATCTTTGATGAAATGTGGTTACATTTTGTTCAGGCAAAAGGATATCAGACTTACTAGTTCATCACACAACATACAAACATATATGTCTGATTTAGAGTCTACAGTTAATTTGAGCATGACAAGGTCGGGTTTTTCTGGAATCTGTTTAATATTGTACATTGTAAAGACCAAGATTCCGAGTACTCATTTAAATGTTCGAACCTTTCATTGACTGAAATTAATCATAATTAATGTAGTGTCCAAAAGACAATTGAAAAAATTCAACCTCAAATTTTTTTCTGGAGAAGTTATAGGGTCATCGCGTGCAATGTCACCAGCTTCACGCTTAACACGTCGAATTCTTGTTGTAGCTTGTAATATAGGTTCAATTTCTAGTTCTTCGTCCAACTCCTTCGCAGTTAAAATAGCGCTTTTAAAGCCTGTATTTTTGTAGTCTTCCAAGAAATTGCATCATTTCTTCAACATTTCTTTACATTTACCAAGATCCATATCAGCGGAGCCCTGGGCTGTTGCCCAAATGCGCCCTACCCTAACACCGCTGCTGCATGAAACCCAAATATAACTTGCGCTGGGCGGCGGCGGCGCCTTTGATTATAAGTATTCGGCATTCGGCCGAATAAAAAAGTGCCGAATACCGAATATAGGGAATACCGAGATATCAATTGAAATTCGCAATGGTTAGATTTAATCGAAAGCGAAATTTTTATTTTTGAAGTAAACAGTCAATTATTACATATTTCGGGAAGTTCATGCAGCTTCGGAGTTTTGATAATAAAAAGTGCTCTTGATGTTACCTAAATGTTTAACAGTATAAGCTATTTCTGAATTCTTATTGAATAATTTAGATTAATGCAACTAAAGGTTTTTTTAGTTTTTCGGGTGAAGGAGCACGGAATATGCACACATTACATATGTCATATTATTTTTAAGATAAATATTTATTTAGACAGTTAAAGATATAATATTTTTTTAGACAGTTGTATTGTATATTTGTGTTGCTTTTATGACGTTCTCTTGACATCTAGCCATAATTCGACAAATGACAAAAAAGTGAATCATGTGAGCTAAACGATCTATACATTTTCATATAATGTTCTAGTTTTCCAAAAAAAAACTAAAAAATTTACGGTAATTTAGTATGATTTACATTTTAAGAAACAAATACAGTTTATTGGTACAGTGCTATCCCACAAATATTGAAACGCACACCTTTAAAGAACTCATCATATAAAAAATAGTCATATACTTTAAAAATTCTATTTTAAATTTCAGTTCCAAGTCGTGAGAGTTCATGTCCTACCAGTACGGAAACTCGTGATGTGAACAAACTTTTGGAATGGATTGAAGGTGCTACAAACAAACAGCAGAAAGATCCAGCTAAGAAAGCAGAAAAAAAGGCCAGACAAAAACTTAAAAAGCTTGCTGACAAGGAGCGCGAAGATGAAATGGTATTTAATAATACTATTGTTTGTCAATGAATGTTCGAACAAAGTAAAAATTTTTAGTACTTCAGTTGCATTTTCCAAAACTAATAATAAAAAAAAATCAGATGCGCTTATTAATTCGAGTTCGAGTCTGGTGTTTTTATGTAAATAACATAGTACTATTTTTATTAAATAATAATTTGTCATATATACATATATATAAGTGGTTTTGAAGACATAATTTTGTAAAATTTATGAACCATATCATCATGATAACCTTGCAAACAACTTTCATTTATAAAATAATGAGATGCAAAAATGTTATTTAGGTGATTACGCCAAGAAGTCCAGAACCTAAACAAATGTATATCGCAGCAGAACCACTGAAAGTAAAATCACAAAGTTGCAGTGACGGTATGGTTAACATCAGATTGCTCACATCTGATGTTCCTAGAGTGGCTGTAACAGCTGTTGGTAGTTCTCCTGATAAGAATAAACTACTTTATACCCTCATAAATGGCCAAAAAATCATTCCAGGTAAATCATAGTGGTAATTTTAAATTTTTTGGTAAGGTAAAACATAGAGTTAAGTAAAGTTATTTAATATTGGAGATATTTTGATAAGAAAATTTCTTGATTTGTTGAACAATTGTCTATCTTAATTGGCTTCCATATTTTAAATTACATAAATGAGAAATTTTATATAAATTTAAACTTAATAAAGCCAATATTATATTGTATATTTGTTATTTTGAGACAACAATGATAATATTTTAAAATATTCAAGGATTTTCTGTATTTTCTTCTTTTGTGCACTGCCTTCCTTAATCTCTTTTTTAATTTAATAATTATTATCATTAATTAAATGGCAGTAAATAACATTTGTTTACACTTTGTCCAAATTTACAGGAATCTATTTATGCACAAGTCTTTGTTCTTGTACTAATTTATATATCTAATCAAATATTAATTATTGATGCTTTAAATGTGTGTGTAAATATTTTAAGAATCTGAATCCCTGAAGAAAAAGAAGAAAAAGGGTAAACAAGATGCTTCAGTATCTGTCACAAATTCAGAATTACCTATCTTAGATGAAGTTAAGACTAAAATTAAGCAAAAGAAAAATGATAAAAACAATCAGCCTTCTATAAATAATATAAGCAAAAAGACTGATGATAAAATAGTTAAAAGTAATGTTAAGAAAGATAGTAAGACTTCTAATAAATCTAATAAAGAAAATATAATAGAAACTGATAGTTCTAAAACTTCTAATAATTCAAAACAAAAACTGACAAATGTAAATTTGAGCAAGATACCAAAATGCCAAGATAAATTTTGTCAGACTGATGATAAATTAAGTTGCGCTAATGAAATCATAGTGAATATTACTAATAATGAAAAGAAGAATAGCAAGAAAGATAAAAAACAAAAAGACAAAAAAGTTGTTAAAAATATAGAAGCTAATAATATTAAGCAACAAAAACTGGAAGCTACTACTAAGTTAACTTCTAATGTAAAAGACAAAGTTACAACAAAAAATAAAAGTGCAATAAATGCTAAATCAGAAAAAGGAAAATTTGTTGAAAGCTTACCAAAGGCTTCTGAAAAATCTGATTACGATCCAAATTCATCACAGGAGTGGATAGAGATCAATAACAAGTCTCGTTCGAATAATAATACTTCAAAGGTTAATTCTGGATTGAATGAGACTGAAAAGAGCAAAAAAAATAATAAATCTAAGAAAAACAAAAATAAGCAAGATCAGAGTCAAACTGTCAATAAAACATTAAATAAAGCATTTGAAAATCTAAATATTTCAAGAGATACTACAATAGAGGTTACTAGAGAGAATATGAGCAAATTGAATATAAATAATATCAATGGAGCAAAAAAAACAATTTCGAAGAATAGTAATATCAATAATGTAGCAGCTAATTCAAAGGTAGGTCATTTTATAACTCGGATTTGACTTCTTATTATGTAGTTTAAAATAATTTATCCATACCAAAATTTTTTGACTCTATAATTTCAGTAACTCTGTTAACAATAATTTTATTTTTGTGCTGTTTGTTTTCTAAAATAATAGTATATTTAAAAATGAACTATGAATATGAATCATGAACATTTGAATTTTAAAATCAGTGTTTTCTTGTATGTGTATTTTTTTTTTACTAAATTTTGAGTTCAGTGCCAATAAAAACTAATTGGCATTTGTTTGAAGGCATTGTGCCTCAAGGCAAATTTCTGGAACTTAAACCTGTACCATGTAATATTTTTTTCAAAGTGGGCTTTTATAGAGATAAAATATCAAAGCGCGTAGGCGCCGCATCAGTCTAACGGTTCCACATTATAATTCTTGATGCGGAACCCATAGAAATGTGAACAAAATTTGCACTTATTATTAAAGTATTCATAAAATATTTGATCTTTGAAGGTGCATACGTATAGTGGCCGTTTTTTTTTTAACTTATTTTTTTATTGGAGCTCCGAAACTGCTGGACCTGGCTTCCAAAAGCTTAAAATGTTTTTCTCAAAAACTCTTGTGAAGATCTTGCTGAGAAATTTAATTAGCTAATTTAGGTTTATGTACTTATTAATAAGAATTTTTTACAATGAGTTTTTAATCTTAAGTTTTAAGTTTATAATTTTAAGTATTATATTTTTATTCAAAAGATACCAAGTGGAAAGAACAATGAATACAGTATAATGGATCAACTGAATCAGGGAATTGGTGTTGAAAGGCTGAAACTTCCTCCTGGAATTACCTTAACTAAAGTTGATGCCGTCACTGCTTATGCTAATCAACAACGCAAAACTTTACAGGTAAAAACAAATATTTAATAATACATTTATATATAATATATGTATATATAATATACTGCATAGATATATAGTCTGAAATATTTCACCTAAGGTTGTTCTAATTAAGATAAGCTAGTTTCCAACGTAGATTCTTCATGCTTCTCAAAAGCATGTACAACTGTAATAACTTTTTAAATGTATTAAACTATTATATATTTATCTAATATATTTTATATATTAGATATTTTTTAAATGTAGTAAACAGATAATAATCGCTGAGAAAATCGTCTGAAAAGTATCAGAGGCGCCCCATCAATTCTAACTTGGCTACACTCGTCCACTGGTGCATTATCATGACGAAAGAAGAATGTTTATCTCGCAAAATCAGGCCATTCAAATTTTTCGTTCACGTTTAGCAATTCTGAATCGATTTTGAAAATTCAAGAACTGTTCAAAAAGATATTAGTTGGGAATCGTGCTGACTAGTTTTTGGTAAAGATCGGCTGGGCTGTTTTCTTGTAATAATGTGTTAAAAAAAAAATTTGTATTGTAGATCCTACTAAAATAATACGGACCTACGATGAGTCGTTTAATTTTAAAAATTCTTCAAAGTTTGTAAAAATTAGTATCATTTTTTTGGCATTTGTCAAAATTAGACCTTTCATCGACGTTTGCTCAAAAACGCCTGAACCGATTTCAGAAATTTAAAAGCCATTCGATGTATCTCAATGAGGACTATCGTTTGTCAGTTATGTGCGACGATCTGCCAAGCCATTTCTTTGTAATTTGGGAAACTTTTCGTCCACATTTAAACTCATGCTACTGAATTAGTTTTAGGTGAAAATCTACCGAGCCATTTTCTTGTTATTAACTGTTGAAAAAAATTTAAGCCAATTTTTATGGAACTTTTTTTTGCGATATATATCATGGTCTTATAAAACTTACTGAAATATTACGGCCTTACGACAGGTAGTTTAATTCATCAAAGTGAAGTTTTTTTGACGTTCGTTAAAATTAAAATTAGACGATTTACTTGGTATAACGATAGAGTGTTCGTTTGTTTTCAATGATGTGTAATAAATCCACACGGAATTCTTTTAATCACTCATAAATTAACTTATATTTTATTGATTAAGACGATTATTTATACTAGTTTGTTTTAATATTGCGGGACATTTAGGAAAACGTGTTTGTGAAATATATGTTACTAAAGTTGTTAAAAGTAATTAATTAGTTGTCGTTGTATCGCTTACCTATATTATATAATTTAATTTTCAGGCAAGCAATGCGTCCACTCTATCTAATGCTCCTAAAATGCAAGAATATGCAATGATTATAGCAAATCCTGTACAAGCACCCCCCACAAAAGGTATATTGTTTTTTATATATATACTTCAAATTTAATTTTATATATATTTTCAAATTTAATATTTTATAAGTGTGATGTAACTTGACACATCCTTGCTAATTTGAGAATTTATTGTTTATCATATAAAAGAACATATTTATTTACTATACTAATGAATGCAATATTAAAATAAAATAAATTATTTAGATGATGGCAAGGTACATGTAGTTCCCTCGGCTGTTACAACTGGTACTAAATCAAGTCGAAAGAGTCGCAGAAAGAACAAGAACCGTGCATTGAATTCTGAAAATGAATCTGGATCAAATAAAACAAAAGAGCCGAAAATGATCACTTTACGAAATCCTTTGTTCCAAAACAACATATTTAAATTAGGATTGAATACATCAGATCAGTATAGTGCTGTGCAACCTGAACTGCCTTATAATCCTATTCCGATGCCTAAGCAAGCTTCTATTACGCAAAACAAAGATGGTATGTTTACGATACGTAGCCCCGCTCTGCAGCATGCCATGTCAACGGGAGTTACTAATTTCAGACCACATCCATATTCAGAAATTCCATCTCAAGATGCCGAACACTTTTCTTATTTTTCTAATGCAGAATCTAGCAATTTAGTAGATCATTATCCAAATGAAAATATTAATTTAGTGGAAAATAATTCTACTCAGGCTACAAACCAGCAATTTGTTAATAGAAATATTTTGCAAGATATTTCTTATGAAGTCTGCACTCAAAACAATGATGTAAGCAACAAAAATGACTCAGGATTTAGAAGCTATACATCTTTTGGCAATCAACATAGTCCAAACTCAAATTCTGTCGGTACTGATGGTGATAATTTTTCATATTTTTCTCAATCTAGCCAAAATTCTTTACAAGAAGCATCGATGCATAATAATCAAGTTAATGACAACAATAGATTTTGCTCTAGTAGCAGTTCCAGTAATATGAATCAGCAACCATTTTCTCATTCTTTTTCACATAATTATCTCAGTGGGCAAAATGTGCAAAGACTAAACAGTCAAGTGACGATTCATAATATTTCAGACTCTATGTATAAATCCAGTTCCCATGACTTAAAAGAGAATGATTGTGGTGTTGAAATCACTAAAATGCCTAATATGCAACAAAGCTATGGTAAATATGGCAATATAGGAGAAGAGCTCACTCTTACTCGATCACATACTGTTAATAATCCAGTAGACTATCAGTCATACCCATTTGCTAGTTTTGTTAATGGGCAAACAAATACAAAGACGCGGAAGGACTCTGATCTTGTAGGTATGTATCACACAATATTGATAGAATTTATTTCCTATATTTTGTACAATAATTTAAATTTGTTTTATTCAAATTTTGCTTTATTTTCATTCCATCATTCTCATTCTGGCTATATTTACTATCAACATAAGTAAGAATTTTTTATATTAGAAGCCTTATATATTCATATTATAACTTTTATATATTTTATAGTCATTGTTGTATTTTTGGTTTCTATTTTATATACATATATTTATCATATGTATATAAATCATATTTAATTATAATAGTTTTTACAAACATTATTCTCAATTAGGACATATAAAATTGTTAATAATTACAATAACACGATTTATTGTTCCCTATTGAATTGACGTTACTCATCAAATATTTTGTTTTAATAATTAATTCTAATTCTGCAAAAGAAAAAAAAAACTTATATATTTGGTCCTTCATTTATTTTTATTGTACTTACAGATAATATATTTGCACCAAACCAAATGGTGAATCTCAGTGAATTAGAATCAGAAGAGCGTGACATTGAATCTTTCAAAAGGTTTAATTATTACTTTGAGCCCCCAAAAAATAAACCTAAAATCAATTTGAATGTGAATGACATTGTTGTAAAGAAAAAGGCTTCAAGTGCATCAGAGAATGGTTCCAGTCAGAATGAATATGTTTCGAATTTGCAGAGGTATCAAATGAACAATTGCTCACAGAAAAAATTTTAATTTTTTATTGACCTACGAAATGTTATTTTTTGTTATTGTCTAAGAAACAGTATTTTAAGTACTATTAGCAAATAAGTTAAAGATGAAATCTCTTAAGCAGTTGTTTTTATTTGTATATTCTGTGATTTTTAAAATAAAATTTACAATATCATAAAAAATCTTATTTTTAATTTATTTCAGTAATTCAATCATTTTTCATCTAGTTGTCGAATGTTATTTGGAGTCAAGTGTGTAAGGTTTACACACATGAATAAGGTTTTTAGTCACGGAAGATAATTTTTCCATTTATTATTATTATTCATATTTAACATTAAATATACTGCGACGTAGTTGTTTATACTATCACCTCCACATAGCAAATCTAAAAAATTCTAAAGATACTTTCTCAAATGTAGCAACATATTATATTTGTATAGTTGTTCTTGAATGCAACTATATATTATATAGTTATATATAAAAAAATATTTATAATTCACTGTGAATGATTAATAAAGCATTTTAAATAATTGGAATGATACCTTAAATTAATTTAACAAGTTTAACATATTTTTTTTGACCGCACCAGGAGCATTGTCAGCCAATTGAGGTCTTTGATTTTCATAAACATTAAACACAAAATTTAATTTTTTGCTTCCGACTTTAGCTATAAAGTATACCTGAAGGTTCAGAATCCCAAATTTCAGTTGGAAAATATATTTTTTGCCTTTTATATGTGAAATTACTGTTTCTATATTCAGTAAAAAAAAACTAAGTCATGTTAAAAAAATTAAATTGATAAAACAACAAAACTTGATATGAAATATATTTATTGGATGATATAGGGTGGGTCGATTTGTATGGGACAAAAAAAGTCCGATATAAGTACGAAAACAACGGTCTGGCAGGTTTCAGTCCTGCACATCATAGTCGTCCAGGCGTTTGAAAGTGTAAAAAACACTCAAAAATTAAACTTGTTCCTGTAAGCTTCAAATGTAATTTATTCGTTGAGAAGTTCAAAAATCAAACTGCCAGACCATCCATATTTATCTATGGAGGTAAGAGGGCATCCATTAATCACGTGATCAAGAATTTTTGTACCTCCCCTCCCGCTTGGAGATACGTGATGATACTCAAAATTATATTTTGGTACTTTCTCCTCCCCCACCATACTTTACGTATATTTTTAGTTACGAGAAAAAATGGTAAATTATTTGATTTTTTAACTTCCCGTAGAGTAAGTTATAGTAATCGCAAAAAAATCGAAATTGAAAATTTTTAGATATATTTAGGTTTCAGAAGTTTCTAAACATTTTGGCATACCTTAAAAAAAATGAATGTGGGTGTGTGTGTACGCGGATACAAATTTTCGTCGACGATTTTGCGAACACGGATCAACCGGTGTGAATAATTCAAAAAACATTCGATTCCTGCTAATAAGGAGACGTTCTGATTAGTTTTTGGCAAAGACAGGTCTATTGTTTCGTAGATACGGGGCAAAAAGTGCCAAAAATGGTATTTTAGTTTTTGAGACAACGAAGCATTCGATTTAAATAATTCAAAGAACATTTTACTTGTATTGACGAAATAAACAACTGGTACAATTTTTGTAAAGAAAGATTTAATGTTTCGGGAGATTTAATAAAAAAAAGTAAAAAATAATGCCATTTGACGGTCAAAAATGAACATTAGACATATGTATATCGTATTATCAGATATTTTATAAAGAATATAATAATAAGTACAAATTCTGTATACATTTATATGGGTTCCGTACCAATGTTTGCATGTTAAGGTGCTTCTCACCTAACGAACGAGCATGAACAAGCAAGAATATACGTACCAGAACGAACGGCAACGAGCATAGTGTGGAAGCCACAACGAATACGAACGAACACCAACAAACATAGCGAGCAATATTCTGGTGCGCCACACCTAGCAAACGAGCACGATCGAACATGGATTTTGACATGCGCGTGGGTCGCTTTTGTTAGAATATTTTAGTCTGCGCATATTATTCATCATGTTCGTTCGTGTTCGTTCGTTAGGTGTGGAAGCACCTTTCCGCAACTTGTCGGTACATCAAAGAAAATTGTTCGTTCATGTTTGAACTCGTATGCTCGTATGTGCAGTGTAGGCGCTACCACGAATGTAGACAAACATTTTTCTTATTTGATGTTAATATATATTAACTGCATTAGTCCTGCATTAGTTTATGTTGTGACTATTAAAAGATATTGCTGTTATTGACCAATTTTGTGAATTTGATCACTTTAAATAATTTTTCTCTTTCCCGCCACTTTAAATAATAAAACTGACGTTCCACGGTACATCCTCGAACAAAGAAGATGTAAGCCTTCACTGCTTTGAGGCGTTTTCTCAAGTTCGTTTGGAATGATTCGCCTTCGTTCGTGTTCGTGTTTGTTCTTCTTTCTATTTTCTTGTTCGTCATGTTTGTTCGTGCTTGTTCGTTGGGTGAGGCGGCACCTTTAGCGACAACGAGCTTTGATATTTCGACTCCAAACCAGCTATGCAGCGTGATTGCTTAAAAAAAAGATAAAATTTTAGAAAAAAATCAAAATACAGAAAAGTATCAAAATATAAAAAAATCAAATGTTTCAAAAAAGTTTTTTTTTTTAAATTTCAAAATTTCTCAAAAATCTAATTTTTTCAAAGTTTTGCAAAGTGTTTTTTAATAATTTAGTTTTAGGTGCGGAAAGTTCCAGAAATTTGCCTAAAGGCACGATGCCATGCACCACTAGTTTGAAAATATTTGGATTTAAAAATAAAAATCAAGTAAAAAATAAATACACGTGATAATGCACATCTACACTTTTTTTATCTATGGAGTAGATTTTCCAAAGTGTTCATTTGTACGACTAAAGTCCGATATGATGACAGTTCTTAAATTTATCTGTCATCCCATGCAATCAGACATAACCTTGTATGTCAATGTAGAATAATATTGTACAAATTGATACAAATTCAATCATGAATAACTTCTGAATATGATAATTAATATAAAAGTGCATTGAAAAGTTGTATTAAATATGTCGAAGATGGAAATACTTAAGCTCTACAAGATGATTTTACGTGAATCACAGAAAATATCAGCTTATAATTATAGGTTATACACTTATTTAACACAACCACGTTTAGAATTAATAGATAGATAAATAAACTTATATTTAAAATTTACAGAATGTATGCCATACGCAGAGTTCGAGATGCTTTTAGAGAAAATAAAAATCTAACCGACAAAAAATCTATTGATTTGCAATTGCAGTTTGGTGCAAAGAATTTAGAAATCATAAAAAGACAGGTAATAATTTTTTATTTATGAATAGAATTACTAAATAACCTATCTATTTTCAAACATATTCAGATAACAACTGATTAAATAGTTAAGAAATTAAAAATATCATTTTATGAATAATGGCGCAAGCATTATTTTAAACAAATGATCATTTTTTACATATACACTTAGGAAAATCGGTTTGAACTCACTTAGGAAAATCCTTGTTTTTTATTTATCATTTTATTCATAATTTTCAGACAGTTTGATGTAACAGATTCGTTGAGAATTACATTCAATTCACAAGTTAAAAACATTTACATGTGATATTTTTAAAATGGAATTTAAAGTGGAAAAAACGAAAAAAATCAATCCAGCTGTTTTTCATCAATATGTTGGCCTTTTGATTTGATGATGTCCCCACAAATTATTAATTGATGATGCATCGAGTAAAAGTTTATTTGAGTTCAAAAAATAGTTAATGTAATTCAAAGTGATAATTTGTAACATTTTACAATATCTCAAAAATTAACATATTTCTGTATAATAAATAAATGAGAACTTAAAGAAAACATTCAAAAATCATTCTCAACATGTTTTTTCTATATCAATATGTACATTAAACTGTCTGAGGAGAACGATAAATAAAGTGACGAAAAAAATCAAAGTGGGTCCAAACGCACGAGGGCGCGTCAAAGTGGGTAGTGTATATCAATATTAGATAACTAATATACTTGCATATTTTGCATCCTTCTAATAAAAGTACATTTTTAGAATTGGATCAAATACTGTAATTGTAATTACAGCAATTAACCACTGTGTAATACAAAATATGTGCAACAAGTATACGTCATCATTAAAATAATGACTAAAACTTAGAGGGAAAAAAAGCTATTTGAGTGCATGATGAAAATAATAATTTTTATATTCAAATTTAACTTCTAATTTTTAGCATAATGTTGGGGATGATGTCATATATCCACTTTTGAGAATATAAATTGTGATTTATGAAAATAACAAGACAGTTTTGTATATGATAGTAACATTTAAAATACGATTTTCCCGGATCAAATAAAATGCTTTTATATCATTTCTTTATAGTGTTAACCTAATTCACAATTCATCTTTTGTTATTTTGCTGTTCTTGGATAGTTTATGTTTGATTTCTGACGTTTGTATAAACATTATTTTGTTGTTTGCCTAAAGAAATAGATAAAATTATAAATCATAAAACTGTTTAATATTTTCGAAAATAAAAGAAATAATTTTTATAAGTATGAACTAATTGTTCTAAAACCAACGTGCAGTAATATTCATTGAATCGTCAAAATACTGTGATATAAAATACTTTGTACAATGTTTGTCTGATTTTGTTATACATTCACTCCCAAATACAAAATAAACAAACATCTAATAACTAGATTGTAATAAGAACACAATATTAAATTCAATTACATGTAATAATATCTTGTTTAAATATGTTTTATTACAAAAATTATGTTAAACTTGTGTGTTTCGAATTAATTGTTTATTGCCAATATAATTTACAATCTCATTGATATTTACTATCTATTTAAAACATATATATATATATATATATATATATATATATAAATAACAAAATTTTGTGATATGAGTGGAACGAATATTGAATGTTAAATATGAACAATACTCAGGTGATGGAAATATAAAACACTCACTGAGTGTTGTATTGTTCATATTTAACATTTAATATA